TTTCTTTCTTTCTTTCTTTCTTTCTTTCTTTCTTTCTTTCTTTCTTTCTTTCTTTCTTTCTTTCTTTCTTTCTTTCTTTCTTTCTTTCTTTCTCCCTTTCTCCCTTTCTCTCTCTCTCCCTCCCCCTCTCTTTCTGTTCTTAAGATTGCAGTCAGACTGGTTTGGGTTGATTGCAGGCTATGGTTGCATTGGATTACTGCACTAACTCTTCAGCTCTGAAGAAACTGAATACAAATCATGCCAAGGTTCAGAGGAGGAATTATTGATGGGTTTATCACAGTCACATCACAAAACTCTCTTCATTCTCCTTTAAGGGATGCTTGAACTGGAAGAGCAGAGTATTCTGAAGGCCAGAGTTGAGGTGCATGGGTGACTTGACTAGTATCTGTCTATGCTAATATAGCTCTGTTGAATTATGAGCTGATGTTCATGAACAAAAATACTAAACTTCAAACACAGGGTCAGTCTACTGGAAGTATGAATCTTGTATGGACAAGAAACTAAATATTTCCAAATGCTCCTAGTGTTCACAAAAAGCACATATAACTGATTGAAATACGGTAAAACAGAATGGTGCAAGAAGACACATAAAGGACATTTAAAAATGAAGAAAAGCACAGTAACAAACTTCTCTTTTGCATCAGAAGTGCCCTTTCACCATCATCCATACTCCAGAGGAAATACTTGAATAAACTTCATTTATAGGTCTAAGTGAAGTTTAAAGGAACTCTGCTTTTGAATCAATGTATCATATTAAATAGGTTGAATAGCTGAAGTTCCATGTGAAGGATTTAAGAACTACTTTCTTCTTTGTTCTGTCAGTGGCTCCATTTCTATAAAGTTCTCCACTCCATCCGGTACTTTAGAGTAGGTAATCTTGTGTTATGAGTTGAAATACCACTGTAGTATTTCAGCTGGCTTTCTATTTAAAGTGTTAGCTTATTTTTAACGAACTCCCTTAACACAAGAGAAGGAGTATGAGAAGTATTACAGAAGCAACAAAATAATTGTCACATCAAAATTTATCTATCTTTTTATATTGCTATAAAATTCTCACAATGATTGGGATTATTTTTAAAGTAGAAAGCTGCCTGTGATTTGTAACTTTCTGCTGAAAAACAATTCTCAAGTATTTTAGCAGTGTAAGTACTGGAGGTACTTGAACGATTTACACTCCAGTGAAAATCTTTTATGTTCAGTGGCTTCAGTTTGGAAATAGAATGAAAATTATGAGTATTGAAAACTTGAGAGGATTTCAGAATTGAAAATGGTAATAAGGCCAAGTGGAATTTTGCAGTAGTAATTGTGAATAATAAGGTACATTCAAATCCACTCCTGTGCTGTAAGTTTGACTCTGTTGTGAGTGGATGTATTATCTTTAGAAACATGTCTCTGACTAGATAGACACTCCTGTTCGCAAACTCTTCTTGAAAAGACAGTTAAAATATTTGCTGAAAAAAGTCCATTCCTGTTTTGAATTGTACACAGTTCATGCAGAAATGTCTGCAGAAACTTGATTATTAAGGAGCCCAAACAGTTGTATTTTCATACAGTTATTTCATTGAAGGTTCCAGTGTTACAGTTTGGATTATATAATGATTTTTGCCATTGCTGAATTCTAGCTCAAGAGGCTATTCTTGTTGCTCTCTAAAACATGGTAGCTATTTGAGTAGGTGGTTCCTTGACAAGGTTGATTTTTATTGCTATGGAGTAAACCATCTTTATCATCAAACAGCTCAAAAATCCAGAGGTGGTGTCTTAAATTTACATTTCCAATTGAGCGGTTCTTAGTTATAAGTACCACTTGTGTCATGGATAAATGACAAAAGTATACCTGGCTTTCCTGAAAGTAACCCTGTAAAGCTGATGTATTCAGGGATATATTTCATAAATGAATGGCTAAAAAAATTGCCTCTGCACTAAAGAAGCACACAGTAGTGTGTAAAATGAATGTTGTTAAAGTTTTACAGCATTTTAAATATAGTACAGGAACAGGAAGGTAAGTGTATGTTGCTGCTTTGGATGTGTTTGTTGTGTGGGATTTTTTATGTGTTGGATTGCACAGGTAAACATGTGAAATGATACAAGTTTGAAAGAGTTTGCATCTAGAGATAAGGTCCTTTCTAAAATTCAGACTTGGTACTGCTGTTCAGGTTTGATACACAGGGTATTAATACCTTTCTTTAAAAGTGTCCCATAATTGGAGGGATTTGTCTAGCTGTCAAATAAGCTTCATGTTTTTAAATTTAAAATAAAAATGAAATTGATAGTTAGACTTGATTTGCTATTTGCTGGAAGAGCTCATTAGTGGAGATTTATTCCAAGTGCTTGGACCATTGACATGAGCCTTAATTCTTAATAATTCCATTTTGTGCCTTGCTACAGGTGAAATGACAAAATGTACTTCCTCACTATGACTAGCACAATGTTTTATTAGCTGCATAATGTGTTCAATTGCCCTTTATCTGAGTACAGTTTTCCAGCAGGCATTACACGGTGGTAAACTCACCCTATTAGAGAATTGATCTTCCTTACTATTCCGATAGGAAATATTGTCTTCCATGTATTAAGGGAAACTAGACTTTTTGTTCTGAGTCTTTATTTGTGGCCCTGGACAAATACATTAAGTACGATGTCAGAGGAGACAATTTTAGTTCTGATGTTGGGATTTGATGAAACAGCGATTCAGGTTCAATAGCACTTGAAGTGTCTTTGATTCTCTGGCTTCTTGACTACATTTTGGAAAGAATTTTTTTATAATATGAAATACTCTGAAATGTAAGGTTTGCAGAGCGCTACTGTTTTTTTATGAAGAGGGAGGACTGTACAATTTAACAAAGCTAATCAGATTAGCTTTGGGTTCGTGTTATGTAGCTGTTTACAGAAGGCTTTTAACAAAATGGTTGCTAGCTATCAAAAGCACCAGAGCATCAATAGTATGCATATGTTTCAGAACAAGAGGGAAGGATCTTCCTTGGTATCTCTATAAACTGTGGATCATGAAGCCTTAATAATGCTGCTTTCTCTGTTTTTTCTTATAACCAATATTGTGAGTTGGATCAGAAAAACCTAAAAGCTAGCTAGGTAAACTTCATAGTGTTGTTGGAAACTAAAATGGTTTCAGAAGTTGAAGCAACAAGATGAGTGACTGCTCTTCCTATTACTCAGTAGAATTTTCCCATAATCACAATTAATTAAAGCTGGTAGTATTTCCTGGAGTTTTCAATAATAATAATATGGAAAAATGATAAAGAATGGAAACTACTCTTATTATTGATTTCCAAATATATTTAATACAAAACTGATTCACAGTTTCCATAACAGTTTTATGTAAAGCACCGTACTACTCATACTTATTTTAAAATGTGTCACTGAAAGAACCAAGTACAGTACTGTTAAGCAAGAGGGAAACATTTTGAAAATGGTCCTCTTTCTTTGCAGATATGATTAACTCCATTGCTGGCAATGGATATTTCAAAACATAGCAAAATCAAAACCCATTCTTCTTGTTTTGTATCCCTAAATGTGACCTGGTTTATCACTTTCTTTTATAAGATGCTAGCCTTTGTATCTTGTTTTAATTAGAAATAAAAAGCAATACATAAAACTCCTATTGAGACATAAATTTTGGCTACCACTTTGACCCATTTTTTAATTTTTCTGTGCTGCATTGAACTAGAGCTAAGACATCACAGTTTCAAATAGTTCACAAAATCTGTACAGTCTTGAACTCATCTCTGTCACTCCATCACATAAAAGATACAGGGGTTTTGGTTTTTTTGTAAAAAAAATCAGTTCTTGTTTGCTAATTTGTCACTGGAATCACTGTATGTAAATATTAGACTTTATAAAATGTAATTTATTTTAACGTTTTTCAATAAAAATGAAGCTTTTTTTAAAAAAAAAGAAACCTGATGTCTTCATTCTTTATGGGATTAGATGAGAAATGAACTTGTGATGGTTTTCTTCCATTTAATTAACCTTTTGTCCAGGCTCATTGTTGAAAACAAGCATTGACAATGAACATTGATAAAATATATGTTTAAAATTTACTTTTACACCACCATGCAATTGGACACAAGCCCGTTTTGTCATAAATAGCAGCACTGGCTATTTGAAGGGAATGCACTATATTTGGGATAAATCGTGGAATTTTCACTATGGTATTGGATAACATAACCATTATAGCAATAACAATAACACTTAGACTTCTATACTGCTTCACAGTGCTTTACAGCCCTCTCTTAAGTGGTTTACAGAGCCAACATATTGCCCACAACAATCTGGGGGCAATTACTGATCTCAGAAGGATGGAAGGCTGAGAGCCTTGAGCTGGAGTGAGCAGTGAGTAAGCCTGTAATACTGCATTCTAATCACTACGCCAGTGGTCCCCAACCTTGGCGTCTTGGCAGCCTGGCTGCAGGCGGCGGGGGGGGGGGGAGAGGAACTGGGTTGCATGAGCAGTGGGCCAGTGCAGTGTGCAGGCATGTGCAGCTCCATTCACACAAGAGAAGAGAAACATTTGGGATGCGGCCTTGGCTCCTTCAGGCTTCATACCAAAAGCTTTTGCAAAGGGATGGAAGGCCTGAAGCAGCACAAGATCACTCCCACAAAGCCTTTTGTCTGTTTGAAAAAGTTTTTGGCACAGGGAAGAGAAGCCTTTGGGGGTGCCATCTCATGCTCCTTCAGACTCACAGAGGTTGCCTGATGCTCCAAAAGTGGATTAGGTATCCTGCACAGGCAGCCTTGGTGAGTCAGCGAAGCTGAGCAGGGCGCACTTGTCCCACTTGGCCTCTGCTCTCACCGCTCCACTTTTGGAGCATCAGGAACAGGCAGCTTGGCACCCGGCTGGGGGTGAGAGAGGAACTGTGTCATACAAGTACTGGGCCAGTGCACACAAATTCGCAACTCCGTTCATACTAGAGACAAACCTTAGGGCACCAGCTTGTGTGAGGGACTGTGCGTGCACC